AAGGAGTGTCTGGCCATAGTCTACGCGATCCAGAAGGCCAAGCCTTACATCTGGGGAAGACATTTTATTCTGTGTACTGACCATTCACCATTGCAATGGTTAAAGACAATGAAAACCCACAATAGTAAACTTATGAGGTGGGCTTTAAACCTGCAAGACTATGACTTTGAAGTGAAGGTGGTCAGAGGGTCAGTGAACTGTGTTGCTGACGCCTTATCAAGAAGACCTGAAGAATGAAGACGGCGAAAGAAACATGGACTATGTGTATATTTTGGTGACCAAAGGTTAAATGTACTTGTTTATTAAACATGCTTGGTTTGTATGAATAAAGGTAACTTGATGTATTGTTAATGGTAAATGTTTAAATGCCTAATAGAGTGTAAGTATAAGTAAGTATGGTATTGTATGTTATTATATGACTGTTTTTGTTTGTTTTGGGTCCAGGTTGTTTTTTGGTGAAAAGCACCTTAGCTTTCCCCCTACAAAACAACTTATAAAGAGGGGAGGTGTTACATACAGCACTGATGTTACCTGTCTGTCATGGGTTTGGAGGGAAAGTTCCATCCTATGGGGAGTGGAAGGCGGGACATCAGGAGGAGGGGCTGTACTGTATATATATGTGGAGCGTGTGTGGAGAAGCTGGAGGAAAAGCTGTGAGAAGAAGCTTGAGTGGGAGTCTGTGTGTCAGACAGGGTACTACTGTGTGTCAGTCAGTACCAACCTGATAGGTTCAGGGTCTGTGCTTCAAGTTAAGTGTTCTGTGTGAACCAAACTGTGTGTATGTATGAGTGAGACTAAGCCACGTTACTGTATCTTATTCACCTGATCATTTTATTTTTCCTGTGTGTTATTTAATAAACCTTGTTCTTTTATTTGTTAAAAATCCATCCCTGGTCTGTGTGACTTCTTATAGGGAATGGTTGGTGGCAGCTTAGTGAAACTGTGGCATATCCCAGTAGGTCTGGGTTTGTCACAATCATGTCATGAGATTCTTGGTCCACGTTGACAGAGAAGAAATTTTTAAGCAATATTTTACAACATGAGTTTTAGTTCTCAGTGGAAAGGTATGCCTTTACCATAAATCTCTTCCTAGGCACAGTGGGACATGTATTTCTCATCTCTTTATCAGCATGAACATTAACACTTTGCTAAGAGACTTTTTTTCCCTACCATATTTTCCTTCCCTGGCTCCCCCTATATTGCCTCCCTCTTCTCCCACCCCACATCCTTTTGATGGTCCTTGGGGTGAAACAAAACACCAGAAGGCAGAAACACATGGATCAAACATTAAATATGCTCATTTAGAGCACTACTTAAAATATTAAACCTAAATTTGCACATACTGCAACTTGCACAAATGGTCAAGGGTGTGATTATGCAACCCTACCAGGAACAAGCAGACAGACAGAAAGACTAGGAATTGGACAGATAGAACCATGGGTGTTCCACCAATAAGCTCTTGTTTGTCCAGATAGTGGACTTTTTAGGCTGGCTTTTGCAAGGCATGATGATAATTTGAGGCTGGGGACACACAGAAGGGTTCCTCAAAAGTAAATGTGAACAAGAACAGACAAATTCCACCCAACTACTCTCTACTGAATCTTGCATTTATTGCTTCCACCAAACTGATTCCACATTATCTTGGCCAAATATATGGGCACAGCCCTACATTAGTTAATTATTGAGAGCCACTGGCAAGAGAGAATTAGTCACTGGGAAAGAGAAGCATTCTTAAATCCTCCCACACAAATGGATTCTCATCATCTAAAGCCAATTTGAACAAACAATTGATTCTCAGTTGGGTTTGCTTTATATTTCACAACTTAGATTACAAACCAACCAGTTAAACAAGAACCCCTATGAAGCATGTTAAAAGTGACTTGCACGGACAACTGAATATTAAAATAAGTGGGTAGAGTAAGGGTTACATATCTCCTTCTTACCTATATATTTTGCCAGGCAAGTATCCCTCATCACATTGTTTGCGCTATGAGGGAATTATTCCTTTTATAGCATTTGCTTTCATTCAGATGATAGGTGGCTTGCTCCTGAACTGGTATGAGAAGTTTTTGACATATAAAAGGATCATTTCATCAGCTCATAATAACTCTCATCTGCTGCCCACTGCTAATTTTATTTTTCTACTTAGATTTGGGAAGGGGTCAAGCAAAACCAGAGTGCAGAATTTGGAGATTACTCACACTAATCGTTCTTGTATAATAGGTCAAGATGTCTGACTAGAGACAAGCTAATGGAAGAAAGGATGTCATATGTTTACAAACATTTCCGTTAACATGCTGAAATGGCAAGCTTATTCATCCTTGGCCAAAGGTCATTTTGAGGAGAAAAAAGAAATAGTAGGGATATTAATCATACTGACGCCTGATTGTCTGATACATTTTGACATATTGTGGAAACTTGTTACAGTGAAATCTGGCAGGGAGTTTGGCCATTTTTAAAGCATAATCTTTCATCGAGCCATTTGTCTTTGCCATGTTAAATTTTCATATGTTACAACATCAAATTTAAAAAATGTATTTTAGAAAGAAAAATGTACACCATGATACTATTCCCTCTGCCCAGCTATCCACCTAGCTATCCATCTAGCTATTTTTCTTTGGCATTTACAGGGTTGACCAGATGCTTCAGAATGGCACAGGGTATGAATTAGTACTTCAAAGACTACAAGCTGTGAGTCATCTGGCAGTAAATGACTGTTCTGCTGTGGATATCACAGGGGGACTGTGTAGGTGGAGATGGCTTATCTCCAATGACTTTGTTGCCATTATGGCTCATCGCTCCAGGAAGTAAAGGGAAACAGAATGCAAATCTTGTGGCTATACTAAACCATACATCTCACCAAAAAGAGTTTTGACACTCTTTATATATGTGAGGCAGTTGAGCGGTTTTGAAAAACTGTCATATTTTAGGCACAGAATATTTATATTATTCTGACATAAACAAAAGGAGCCTTGTGGTGCAGTGGCTAAACTGCAGTACTGCAGTCAAGACTCTGCTCATGATCTGAGTTTGATCCTGAAGGAATCAGGTAGCCAGCTCAAAGATGACACAGCTTTCCATCCTCCCAAGGTCAGTAAATTGAGTACCAAGCTTGCTTTGGGGGGAGGATGTACCTCCTGTATAATTAAGTTGTAAACAATTGTTGTTGTGGGTTTTTTGGGCTGGCTGTAGCATTTGTTATATTTTTGTGGTGGGCTTGAATACTGTTTGTAATCCTGAATAGGACAAAAGCCTATCTCACAGCCATAAATACTCCACTCCCAAGCCAACTACACCAGAGCACAGAGTGCTGTCCTCTGAAGATGCTGGCCACAGAGATTGGTGAAACGTTAGGAAGAACAACCTTCAGAACACAGCCAAAGAGCCCAAAAAAACCACAACAACCATTAGATCCTGGCCATGAAAGCCTTCACAAATACAAATTGTACACAACCCAGAGAGAGCTTTAAGTATTATGAGGCAATATATAAGGAGCACACTTTATTTGATTTTTTTCAAATACATCAGGATGACAATAGTTTATTCCTGTCACTCAAAGATGGATACAAACATACATGAAGGCACTGAGGAGCAAAAAATATTTCCAAAGGATACTGAACGATCAGGCAAAGGGTGAGATGTTGAATTTAGCAAGCCTATGTTTAGAAAACCCAACATAGATCCAAAAACTAGTTTGATGAGAACCTTCTCTGATGTGTGCCTTTGCTTTCCCTGCCTTCTGCTGACTTTGGGCTGTGAAACTGTCTCTGATGTCAGTTTTGAATTATTTGCTTCATGATTGTGAGTGCTGATTCAAAAGTTAGATGCCTGGAGAGGGAAGCTGCATCTTTGTCTGCATGTGCTCTAAAAAAGAAATCATTCATCCCTTTCCCTTATGAGAAATGTTTTTTTTAAAAAAACAATGGCACTATTATAAATATTTCATGACACTGCCTACCACATGGTTTTCTGTTATTTTCCTGAACATTCATAGCAATTCTTTACCCAGTATATGATTTTTATTCCCCCTTGTGTGTGTGTGTGTGGGTGGGGGAAATAAGGACACAGTATTCGCATAAAATATGCAAATATTATTAAATAACCAAAAATGCACATTTAGAAGCAATTACTAGAATTTAAACCGAAACAGCACAATTAATCATAGTGAGGAAGACTGACTTAATAGGCCTGTCAACTCAGTATACTGTCCTGGTGCTTCTGATGGGCCACTTTGAGGCCCAGATTCTATTTTCTTCTTGGCTGCTTTTCATTAAACCTCATTTGGACTGTACAAGCCTTCGAAGAGAGATGTCTTCAGTCAAAGGTCTGCCATGACAGAGCTTCAAATAGTCCTCTCCAGAGTAAGAGACATGTGACCCTATAGCCAAATCCTCCCAGGTGAAGAGGGAGTTCAAATTATTAGTGACAATGGAAAATGTCTGTAAAACATTGGGTTCTCCCCCATTCCCTGTGTTCTAAATTCACTTGTAAAAGATGGCTCCTCCATAAATTCCCAGACTTTTCCCTCGTGAGCCCCAACATCCCTTAACAGAAGTCTGCAGAGCTACTGCTAATTCTGTTGTGGTGGCTGTGGCAACAGCGACAGCAGCAGGAGGAAAAGGTCTGGTTTGCTTCCTTTCCGCCCTCACATCCCCCTCCTCTAACAGTGCTTGGTTTTGCTGCTCTGTTTTAATTCTGTTATTGTTTGGTTTTGTGGTTTTTAGTTTTATAAACTACCTGGGAGGCCCTTCTTACAGACCAAACGTCCTTATAGAAATGGCTTTCTAAATGAAATAAATGGACAAGACTCCTTTTTCTTCATTGAGCAAATATATTTACAGCAAGACACCAGGGATCCTTGGAGGTATCATTTTTCAGGTCAGTCCACATCCATACTGACTTTAGATACACCAGGACAAATACGATTCCCAAGATTCACAGCACCCGGAGTGCTGCTGTTTCTTCATTTCGGATGTCCAGGAAGACAGGAGACAGGAGAGAAAGAGGACATCTCTTTTTCCTCACTGCTGTCACAATCTCCAACACACCAGTGGATCAATGAGTTAGTGAGTAGAGATGGGCTATTCGTATTTATATCCATGGGGATCAGGATATGAATATATTGGCACTATAGGTGCCACGGAGATCTAGCTCCTCCACCCCCAATCACTCAGTCCACTCACTGGTCGCCTTGTAGCCCCCATAGCCATCCTCCATGTCATCACACCAATCACGGAAGCAGCACAGCTGGTGCTTCCTCACCTCCCCACACAGCCAACTTCTCAACAGCTGAGTTCCCTGTCCCACCTCCTTGCTGGAGTGGTTGGCTGTGCAAGGAGGCGGGGAAGCACTGACTGGGCTGCTTCTGTGATTGGAGAAGCCGTGCACTGACCAGGGCAGTGGACCGGCCAGTTTTTTGGGGGGGGGGAATTGACTCTCCATGGCACCTCTGGTGCCAATATTTGTATTTGTATCCCAGGAATATGAATAGCCTAACTCTATTGGCAGGTGATTGGTTAAGACCCAAAGAAGGAACTATTTTCTCACTTGGGTTCAAAGCTGACCCAGGAATAAGTTGGAGGTCAAAATGCTTGCCAAATACTTAAGAAGAGCGCTGGAGATCAGTCAGGTTAATATTCTGAACCAAAGAATAAAAACTGAGGCATAAGTACTTATTTAGTGTATTCACCAATTTTTAAAAATGTTTTTAATTTGCTATTATTTATTTGTAGTTTATATTTTATTTATTGTTCTAAACCACCTAGAATACTGCATCTCACTAATGGGGCAGTATACAAACAAACAAACAAGTTCAAATTGTGGGATATTACATCAGAATCTGACATTTAAACATGCCACCCAGAGTAGACCTTTGGTCTAGATGGGCATGGTAGAAATCCAAATAAATAAATAAATTAAATTAAATAAACTTCTCACCACATTGGCTACAAGTGTGAATGGTCTTAACAGTTTTGGTCGCCACACCTCAATAAAGACAATGTAGAACTGGAAAAGATGCAGAAGAAAGCGACTAAAATGATGACTGGGCTGTGGCACCTCCTTTATGAGGAAAGACTCTTTAGTCTAGAGAAAAGGCACGTGAGGGGGGACATGACTGAGATGTATAAAATTATGCAGGGGATGGATAAAGTGGATAGACAGAAGCTCTTTTCCCTCTAACACAATACCAGAACCAGGGAACATCCACTCAAATTGAGTGTTGGGAAAGTGAGAACAGACAAAAGAAAATATTTCTTTACCCAGCATGTTGTTTGTCTGTGGAACTCCTTGCCACAGGATGTGGCGATGGCATCTGGCCTAAACGCCTTGAAAAGAGGATTGGACAGATTTCTGGAGGAAAGGTCCATCACAGGTTACAAGCGATGATGGGGATGAATAATCTCCAGGCTTAAAAGGAAGTTACCTGAAAATGCCAGATGCAGGAGAGGGGTATCAGGAGTCAGGTATCTAGTTGTCTCGTGTGCTCCCAGAGGCATCTGGTCGGCTCACTGTGAGATATAGAAAGCTGGACTAGATGGGCCCTTGGCCTGATCCAGTAGAGCTCTTCTTATGTTCTAACATATCCCCTCTCTGGTAACATCTCCTTTTCAATTTGTACCACCCATGAATATAGGTAGAATTGTTGGAGAGGTAAGAATCACTATATATGCTGAATCCTACCTTATGAAATTGATGGAGGGCAGGACTAAGATGAGAGAGTGAAGAAAAAGGTGAATACCTCTATGCAGCAAAGTAGAGTTCTAATATGTGCCAAAGAGGTAGCACTAACACATTTGCTGCAACAGCTCTACATAAATTCCCTCAGATAGTTTTTTTTTTTAAATCTCTTATCTCCAACATTTTGTCTCAACCCTAAAAGTTCCTAGATTACACAAAAGTTCCTAGATGAGAAAGTTCCATTGGAGATGCAAACAAGGTCAGTGCTGTCTCCCAGCTGACCAATGACAAAACAAAACAAGCTAACTTGAGAAATGTGGATCTAGGCAATCTTGTTTTAAAAGAAACAGACAATATTTCCATCTCAAAGATGCCTTGTTCTAGATACAGAGTCTCCTCTAGCTAGGGCCGTGAGCATTTGTTCCCAAAATCTAGGACACATCCCTCTTGGGTGGTAGGAAGGAATTCCAAGGGTGACATGCTTGATAGCTCAGTGGTTTAGAGATAAGCAAGAGGTTAGATGTTTGGATCCCAACTCTGCCTCCCTGATAGGGGGTGGACTTGATTATCTGTAGAGTCCCTCCCAGCTTTGCAGTTCTAAGGTTGTTGTTATCAAGAAACAATATTTTAATCACTTAACATTTCTGTGATAGATATAACTACTAGAATTTAAGGTTTGTTGATAAAAAACCATTTAAACTTATATTTTATTTAATTTTAAAACCAGTTTTTGGATTTATTTTTAATTTTAAATTACATTTTTTTTGTTAAAAGGGGCTTGGATGATGGTAAAGAAGAAGTGGGGAGATTTGTGGGTTTCTTAATTATTATTATTTTTTAGGATGAGCGTGTGATGCCAAAAGTTTTGTGAACCATTGTTCTAAAGATAGTATGTTGAGGTTTGTAGTTTATTGGCAATCCGGAATCATCTGTGTTCCCGTGATTGTAACATTCTCATAATAAATAATGTTATGTATTCTCATGATAGCTTGAATTATTTGTATTGGCTTAAGATTCAATAGTTACTCTGCTTTCTGTAATTTTTTTTCTAATGCAAATTATACTGGTTCCTGTTTCTCCCTTGTTAAGAAAAGGCCACATCACTTCAATATTTTGTTCAGAAAAGTCATGGGACACTTACTTTGAGATTTCCTGTATTTTGATGCTGCAAGCGTTCCAAAACCTAAACTTCATACAGGCAAGCGCATTTCACAAGTATCAAGTATTAAATGTTTAGCCATGTGGCAGAACAAAAAGAGATGTAGAAAACTTAACTTTGCAAAGATTTCTCTAGAGAGATAGAAATAGATGTATCCCTATATATTTGTTAACAAACTAGATTTATTTTGTTGATTATTTATTTATTTAAAATATTTTACCCTGCCTTTCTCCTCACAAAGAACCCAAGGAGGCTTACATCATTAAAATACAATATTTGAAACTATACATATTTAAAAGGGTCAAATACCACACTAGAACACGGTAAACAAAAACAATACCAAAAATACCTTCAAAGCAGTAAGGCACAGCAAAGCTTGCCTGAAGAGAAAGATACGTATTCGCCTGTTTTTGGAAGGACAGCAAAGATGGGACCAGCCTGGCTTCCTGTGAGAGGGAGTTCCAACGTCTGGGGACAGCAACAGAGTGTCTTCTGTGTCCCCACCAAATATACCTGTGAAGGTAACGGGACTGAGAGAAAGGCCTGTCCTGCTGATCTTAAGACTCAAGCAGACTTATAAAGGGAGAGGCAGTCCTTGAGATAGCTTGGACCCAAGCCATTCAGGGATTTATAGGTTAGAACTAGCACTATGAATTCTGCCCAGAAATGGATCAGCAGCCAATGGAGCTGCTGTAACAGGAGGATTATGTGATCCCTGTGAACAGCCCCAGTTAGCAATCTAGCCCCTGGTTTTGTACTTGCTGAAGTTTCCAGACACTTTCTAGAGGCAGCCCCAGAGTGCACCTTTGTTTTTAGAGGGAGTGCAACCCTGTCCAGCACAGGCTATATCCCTCTTCCTCGATTTGCCTTCTGACTGACCAGGAGCACCTCTGTTTTGTCTGGATTAAGTTTCAGTTTATTCATCCTCATCCAATCCATTACTGATGCCAGACACTGATCTAGAGCCAAAACAGCTTCCTCGGATTTAGATGGCAATGGGAGACAGAGTGGGGTGTCAACCACATACTGCTGTCACCGAATTCCAAAACTCTGGACAATCTCCCACTGGTTTCATGTAGATGTTAAATAACATGGGAGACAAAACAGAACCCTGAGGGACTTCACAGGCCAGCGCCGGGGTGTCAAACAAGATTTTCCCATGTATTTTCAGGAATGAATATAGTTGCTTATGAAGGCATAATGACACTACGCATATACTTAACAAGGAGGTAAAAATCCAACGGCTGCAAAACCACAAAATGTCCTTCATGATGCAAGTTATTGATTATCTATAATAGTGAAAGATATTTATTTATTGGATTTTTACCCCACCCCTCTAGACCATGTCTACTCGGGGCGGCTTACATAGATAAAAACAGAACGATATAAAAATATATAAAATCATAAAATTACAATTCTAACAATTAATTTGAAGCAGACATTACCAAGATGGCATGAATCAAAAGAAAGAGAAATAAGAATCACTTAATTGACTCACCCCCCCCCCCATGGTAGAGAAAAAAAGCTACTTTGGGAGCAAAAAGGTCTTAACAGGTTTGAATCAGCAGTTGGGTCATGTGGTCAGTAAAAAAATACTTCAGAATTCGCCCATTTTATGAGTGGAGCAAATTCTGTGATATTTGACCATGTTGTTACAGCCTAAGTCCCAGTGAACTCACTGACAATTGCCTCTGAACAAATACTATGTCCAATGACACTGCTTAGGTTGCAGTTCTTAACATACTTCCAGAACAGTCTAAGTAAGGCAGAGAAAGATTAAAATGGCAAAATGGATACGAAGCACTTGTTTGGTGGTTTGGCATGGTTCGTTTACCAGCACCTCAGCTGATCCACAGTTTGGTGCCTTGCCCTCTCCTGTGGGTGCCCACTCAGAGGCAGTGTCCTGGCTTCCCTGCCCCACTCCTCTGGGTACTGTCTCTGAGTGGGTGCCCACTGGAGGGAGGGCGGCACTGAACCATGGATCAGCTGCAGGGGGGGTCAGTAAACAAACAGCAACGAACCCCCAAACTAGTGGTTCATGCCCATCTCTACTGCTCTCTGCCAAGATGGAGAGTGGATGACAGAAAGGCAAGTCTTACCTTTCCTCCTTTGGAGCAATACCCATGTGTGCTCCAGCACCTGAAAAGGGAAAACACAAGTGTTTTCCCAAAGTGTGCTTACACGTTAAAACATGTCTGCCCATGTCTGAGTACTTTGTTTTTAGAGAAGAATCATGCCCCAGGAAACATGATGGTTGCCCCAAACAACTTAAGTGCTAGAGTGCCTTATTTAGCAGTAAATTCAGCAGCATTCCACCACAGACAGAAGTAGGAGCTGCAGGAATCTATGCAGTGCATAGGCCATGCATTGCCTGTCTCTTCTTGTCCCCTCCATTTTGCTACCACTGAGTGTCAGCATAGTTTCTTACTAGATGAGATGGTGATCATGTAGCTAGAAGGAATGCTGCCTCAAGTGGAGAAAAAGGTGTAACTGTGAAAACCTATCAGAGGAAGAAATGTGCTTGGCACTGGAGTTATGTCTGGAATGCACACAACAGCCTCCAATGCATGTCTAATTCTGGAGACATGCAGAAGAAAGGAGATTATTATTGGAGAGAAAATATTGTAAGGAGAGGAAGGACACATTATTTTGAACATACGTTTTGACCCTGGGTCTTTTTGGTGTTTACTTTCTTCTGAAGAATAGAGGATGGATTAACACAGAACTTTTCATTTCTTTCACCAGGACATTCCTTTCTACAGAATCATACTATCTTCAAGTCCACTCCCACATATGCTTGAGGTAAGATCATTTTTTTAAAAATAGCTCAAGAAACAGGACTGCTTCTATATTGTTCTCTGTCTGTCTGTCAAAGCAAGCTGCTTTGAAGTCTTTGAAAGAAAAGCAGGATATAAATGTGGTAATTATGTGCTAATATTTCTAGGGAACAGTGTACTTTCTCACAGATTGCGAATACCACACATTTAGGTAAAACAGAAAATAGTTTGATGATGATAATTCAGACTCACAACAACCCACCCCCCCCAGGGGGTTCTAGATAGAAATACTTAATAGTGGTTCACCATTTCCTCCTTCTGGTGGTGCTCTGGGACTGTGTAACATACTCAAACATACACAGGTGTCAGGACATTTGTGTGAGCCACAAATGCTCCCTATGATCTCGGCTGGCACCTTTCCCAGGAGGCACAGTGGGGATTGAACTCCCAGCCCTTGGCACCACAATCAGCCATGCCAGCTCATTAAGCTATTCCAGCACTGCAAGCTATACCTGCCAGATAAATAAAATCTTCTAAAAATATTGCACTTTTAAGTCATGCCATCTGTGTCTTGAGAATACAATCTCAAAGACAGATAGGGTGTAACTGGCAAAAGGCATTTTTACATATTTGGTTCAGCTTTGAATGATCTGTTGCAGAGATTTCCTGTGATGTATATTAAATAAACTCCTGGCAAGATGGAAGGCAGAGATCAATAGCAAAATTTGACCCACAAATGTCCAGAGCAAACAAAACCTGCTTTGCCCACATCTTGGCACATGTTTCAAAATGTTTGCTGAACACACATTATATGAGTCACTAATTGGGGGAGGCACTACAGACCCACAGAATGACCAGAGCTTTCTCTTATTTCTTGAACCGTGGTAACTTCAGCAAACTGAGACCCGGATTTAAGCTTAGCTATTCAAACAAGAAGGGACGGCCTTTGCCAACCTTAGTCTCAAGTAGCTCAGATGAAATGTTTGCCTACTGGAAGCCCATGGAAGTTTGTCGTTATATGTTCTTTTTCTTTATTCATGTCAGAATCACCACAATATAATTAACAGAATGCAATATAAAAGAAGGCAAGAACCTCTATATAAGCATGTATAAGATACAGTCTTGTTTACAAAAATAAAACTGTAAAGCCTAGATAAATAGATCAAATAACTGGCTGATCTTTGCACTCTAGAAATACCAATGTAATATAACTCATCATATGAACACCATTATGGGCTGAAAATCATTTTAAGAGGGTAAGAAGAACCCTCACAACTACCATTAAATGGAGCTCTGAACAGGTGGCAGCTTATTTCATGTTACCTCTGCTTATTCATGTTAGCATCTTTTTAATCTACACTGTATATGAGGCAGGAGAGTCTCTTATTAGACCCAACCGAGATGTTTTATTGCCTGAGATAAAAATGATTATCCATCTGGCATTTAAATCTTTCTTCAGTCCTGTGAGGAGAAAGGGTCTTCTTCCACACTTTACGGCAGAAGGCAAGCTTAGTCAATGCAGGGCAACCATATGGCTCACACCTATTCCTTCTTCAGTATTTTGGCCCCTGCTTAGCATCTTTTGCTAGCAGCACCTGCTATCTGTGGTATTTTATTGTTATTGGGCAGAATCCTATTAATTACATCCAATTGTATAACTTAGTTGGTATAAAGCTCACCTGTAAACAGCCACAAGTTAAAAAGTTGGTGCACCAGCAAATGCCTACATGGACTTCTTAGCATGGGCAATTCATCACGTAGATTTATGACAATGGAGTTATGCTGGCAGAATTTTCAATTGGACTCCAACCACTGTGATTGCATTTCATTATATGTTTATGGTTTTACTGTAAGCTGTATTACAGCCATTTGCCAAAAAGTGGGGTAATGCACTATTATTACCAGTAACGGTGGCTACTATATTAACACATTTTAAAAAAAACATGCTAAACTTACTAAGCACCTCCAAAAATTAATTCCTACAATAGAACGATGCCAAAACTCCCATTTTAGACAATATAAAGAAACAAGGTACAGAAAATAAACCGGTCAAAAGATATTTGCCTATAAAAATTACATTTAGTCTGTATATATATATATTCACTTATATTCACTTATATTCTGTTCTCCATCTAAAAGATAATCAAAGGTGCTTGACCATCCATTATTGTTATATTACAACTGAATGATGCCCAAACATTTTAAGAAAGGGAGGTGGAGATTGGATTAATCCAGTGTTTAGTTGTGCTTATAGTTAACCCACTGAAATCAGTGAAACTTATTGGCTAAGTTAGGTTGTATTGTATGCATTAGGAAGTACATCAGATCTATTCAAGCTACGTACATGATAAAAATAATACAACTATTTTTAGTTCAAGACATATTTACAAAACTGAACAAAGGGGCTCTTGTTCTGTTTTCTAGGTCATCAGAAATTGTTTTCCCTAGCATGTGTTTTAATTCCAGTTTTTAAGTGATTAATATGATGAGATTGCAACAACATGCCCTGAAAGAACAGTTTGCAGTCTAAGTATTTCCTCCAAAACTCAACTAAATCATTCTCTGCTTCTCTTAACATTTAATTATCCTTCTTTGTATCACACTGGACAAGTCTTCTCCTGTTTGTGTTTTGCTAGAAGTTACACACATAACTGAATATATCATCTTACTATTTTGCCGGGATTTATTTTTTGCCGCATGTTTTCATATGCATTTGGTCATTGTCTCTTTGGCATATCTCTAGGAAACATATATTAAATACCTTGCAACAACTTGTGCCCATGATGCATCCACTCTACATCACCAGGGACGAGACAATTCTAACAGTAAGACATTTTATAGGCACTGATCCACAGTGTTAACATTTCTGTGATGGTGGGTTCTCACATTGTTGTTATGTACCCAGGAGGCAGTTCTATGGAGGAATGAATCACTCTTATTTGCACAAAATAGTTTACAATACCACCAATAAAACAAGGAAACAATCCCACAATCTTGTAACATATGAGAGAATTCCAAACAGCTCCCAGTCTGAGGAAACTCAAGATTAAAAGGTGTTACACAAATACTGGAAACACAACAGTTGTGATGGCTGACACACAGCAAAAAAGAACATGCTGGATCTCAAAACTGAAGTCTGAATGTTTTCCATCTCTGGATGCAAACTTTCTAGTAATGTATACAGGCTACATGGCATTTCACAGATGTACGTGCAAGCTGCAGTAGAAAAACATGGTCCTGTTAGGTATATACATACTCAGAGTTGTATCTTTGTCTTTTAAGGAGGCAACATATGTACCAAAGCCTGTCAGTTGGAGTTGCAAGGCCTCACTGCACCAATCTGAAGTCTTGGGGAACTGTTGTGAACCACTGAGTCTCCAGGAGAGGAAACCAACCTCTGGATGAACAATGCCAGGACAGGAGATGTTTTCTCTGTAAGGTGCTCTAAAGCCTAGACACCCATCTCTCTGCAGTCCCAGCTGCCATGGCCCCTTTTCTCCACCTTAAGCTACAAAGACTTTGTCTGGATTGAGCAGAGCCTTCAGTTCCATGTAGGATTTAAGTCTTCTGCTCCCTTATGATCAGGCTGCATCTTTAGGGTACATCTCTAGGATCTTCTCTTTGACCACAGGACATGAGATCCAGGCCATGGCAAAGATGGCATTCAAAAGCCTCACCTTTTCTCCACCCGGGAGACCATTCGCTTCTTAAGAACTTGCAAAGCTCTAACCTGAATTCTTTCAGGAAAAGGAAGAGCAAACAGAAGGGGGTGAAAGATAATGTGACAAGGAATGTTTCTTGGAATGTTAATATTTTTGAAATAATTAGGGGTGGGGCAAGATACCCAGTGTGGTGTAGCGGACTCAGGAGGCCTAGATTCAAATCCTTACTCAATCATGAAAGCTCACTGGGGGAGTGAAACTAGTAAAACCACTTCTTGAATACCTCACTTAAGGATTGCTGCAAGTTGGTTCCTGGTTGCTGGCACACCACTGTGGGAAGCTCCTGCTCAAGGCTGTTAGTTGTAATCTGTTACAGTGAGAGCAAACACTCCTGGCAGAGAAGCAGCAGCTCCCAGTGGGCGGGGTGACCTCTCATTCTACCTTTTCCCTTAGAATTAGATCATAAGATCAAAGACTTTCTCCGGCCAATCGTAATGGCGATTAGGTAACTAGTGTCTTATCTGAATTCTCACAACATATGATGTAACTCTTGCTGTATTAATAAAAAGAGTTCTCAAGGCATTGCTTGGGGCTCCACTGGATCGGACATCTGCTTGTCGACTTCTTTGCAGCTACCTTCCTATTGTTCTGTGATCACCCACATCATTAGCCTTTCTTTGGTCTGTGATCACCTACACGCAACAACAACAGCAACAACATCTGGATGTAAATACTCTTAGAAAAGATCTTTGAGCAAATAATGCAGTATAGTACTGCAAAAGAACTGAGCCTAAACAAAGCTGTCATCAACGATATACCACAGAAACCAGACAGGAACTATTAGAAGCAAGTGTGAACTATAATATCAATGACCACATTTCTTCCTTTGTAAATGGACCCAAATGGTAATTCTGTGCCACTGTTCATGAATTGTATCCACGGAAGGTATGGGAGGTTATAAGGGCTGATCATGCCCCACCTGCCCTGATTTTCCCATGTTGAGTAGGAGGGTTTGAAGCATAAGTGAGCAACATCTGGCAGGAGGACCCATATTGTACTCCTTGAACCTATCAGGAGTCCCTCCCCAACCCTCACCTCCACTGCCACCCCTGAATTGTCCACCCCCCAAAGTTGGGAAAACGTGTATTTCCTCCCAGTTTGGTGGTTCAGCAGCACGAAGGGGAGGAAAGACTTGTTTTGGTCTTAGAAGGTCCACAGGCAGCATGCACCTTGTTTAAAAAAAAAAGGGAACCTCATTCTATCATATTGCCCGAATTCAGCAGTAATAAATCCAGTTGCCAGGAAGGGCATGAATAGTTTGGGTAACGTGGCACTATGGGCTGCACAGTGTCTGCCCCCAGTCTGAATAGAAATAGCGAGCACATTAGCTGAACACATTTTTGTTTTTGTTTTAATCCCCTGTGTATTGGAGATCCTTATACAAACCGTGGTTCCAGTCATGGGAACAAACAGAGGTCAGAAACATCCCCCTTTTGGCCCATGCTAGCTGAGAGAGTCTTTAAAAAAATAAAAAAATAAAAAAATAACTTCTCCAGTTTTTTGAGATATGCTGTCTGAGAATCTACTGTATGTCACTATGTTGTAACACATGCATCACACATGTAGTCCTCTGGAAAATATTTGCCGTGGGCTGAAACAACTTATGCTATGCAACTTTGCTGATGTTTGGGGACCATTAAAAAGTTCCTATCGTAGTTCTGAGGAACCTGGTTCTCAGGCAATTTGGGGGCTTTAAATTGTTCCACAGCTTATTTCTACGGCTCTGTGAAGTCTTCCCCAGGATGAAGGGGATCCCTAGGAATCTCTAGGATCTGGGGAAGACCAGGAAGTTTTCAACTGCTCCAAAATGGCTATGGCACAGCCATGGTTCATTATGTGATCCAAGCTGCACGTTATAGCTCCATCAACAGAATTTCAGCCACTGTTTCATTGTGTTCTTTAACTGTCTCACTACATTTTTCAGGGGCAATGTAAACACTTTGCGGAAACATCTATAATAGCACATGTTGTGCTGTCTCCTGGATGGTTTAAATGTGAATCAGGCATGATTAGAAAGGCACACATAAACACAAGGCATTTATAATATCATCCCACTCAATGAGAATGGGACTGGACTGCTGATAAAAATCTTCCTGGCTGAAAGTCACGTCTTAGCTGCCAGCACATGCTCGTTTCTACAGTGTGCCTGCAGTCCTGCTCCAGCTGTGTTAGAAATCCCTGTATTAAACATAATTAAAATATTATAAATCACCATGAAAAATGGTTTACAGCAGTGATAATCCTTTGAGTCAACTGCTACCGAAGTTGGCCAGTTTGCTAAAAACCACAGGAGACTAAATATGAAAAAAAGAAAGAAAGCAAACTTTTTTTTCCTCAGAAGTGTCGATTTCATTAGAATTAGTTTTTAAGTGCCAGCAGCAGGGCCCATTCATTTGGTATGAAAATACAGGAACTGCATGAGAAAATTCTGCAGCTCAGGGGTGAGCATGTCAGCATTCTGGATTTGATCCCCATCTAAAATCTGTGAGGGTCACTGCTAATCAGTTTAGAAAGCAACTTGGAAAAGTTATCTTTTGGGCTTTAATTCCCAGAATGCCTCAGCAAGTAGGGCCCTGCTGGCTGAGGGATTCTGGGAGTTATTGTCCTATAAAGGACATTCTCTAGTTCCAGTTAGGTGGTACTCAGCTAGAATAGTTTGATTCACTATAAGGCAACTTCCTAGTAGCACAATGATCGTAACCCACAAAGATGTCTGGGAGCCAGGTGGACGGGCAGTGCTGAATCCAAACTCCTCCCAGTCTGGGGATGCTGGAAATTGCTTAGGATTACCCATTGCCCTGGCTCAACCTTGTATCAGTACTATACTTGTGTCCCTGGTCTGCAAGAGGTTTTGGTGACGTTAATCCGTTTCAGGATTAACGTCACTATCCGGAAACATCGCTATACGGAAAGAAAAACCCCATAGGAATGCATTAAACTCTGTTTAATGCGTTCCTATGGGAGGAAAACTCACCGATAAGCAAAGATCCTCCATCCAGCCGCCATTTCTGCCACCTTGGTAAGTGAGAGCAGGGTGCGAAAACGCTGCGGGCGGCCATTTTCTGCACCCAGCGGCCATTTTGGAACCGCCGATCAGCTGTTTCCCTAACATTGCAATGTGAAGATCGGTAAGCGAAACGCTTACCGATCATTGCAATGCGATGTTTTGCCACCTAAAACATCGCAATGCGATCACATTAGTGATTGCAAAAAAAGCGTCGCTGTGCGGATTCGTTGTTAAACGGTGCGCTCGTTAAGCGAGGCACCACTGTACTATACTTGTGTCCCTGGGCTGCAAGAGGTTTGAATTAAGCATAACTCAGCTCCTCCTTTCTATGTCCTTTTTTCTTTTCCTTTCCATAGGCAGCTTTTAGCCAACAGAGCAAACTCTGCAGGCAAATCCGTCTCTTAACAGCTTCTGAGGTGGACCAGTATCTCCAGGGGGTTCTACCAGCACAAGGGCATTTCTGCTGGCATAAGGGATTTGTAATAGCAGAAGCAAATCCTTCTTATTCCTAATACGTGACAGAGTTATTGGTTGTGATGTCTCAGGATGACTCTACAACTGAAACCCAAGAGAAACAATCACTTTGGTGACATGAACAGCCTCTGAATTAGAGGCAGTTTGACAGTGCTTCCCCCCTAAGCCATAACTGGGAGGTTCAACATAAACATATGAGCAGCAGGATTTATTAGTATTAATGTTTTAATAATTGTTTTTAATACTGTAGTGTATAGGATATTATTATAATATTGCCTATTTTAATGATTTTAATGTTTTTAAAGTTTTAATATTGTTGTACGTCGCTCAGAGACCACTGATAATGGCGCGGCTAAAAAATCTTGTAAATAAAAATAACATAAAATGAATCAACGAACGAAAGAACGAACAAACAAACAAACATCATATAACACATCTTTAAAAAGTCATTGTCGCCATGCCATTATATTGCCACTCATGTAAGTGACAACAAGAATAAACAAAATGGAGTTTGAAACCACACCTTGCAAGTCTTTATCCTTCCAAATGCTAACAAATACACCTAGGGATTTCTTAGTGGGGGGAAAAGGGGACTCCATCTACGCTAAAACTGCAGACTTCCCTGTGAAATATATGGTGAGTTGGCCGAGTGAATATGCCATTGCAACAAGTAGCAGAAGACTTTATTCATTCTTCAAGAACATCTTTAAGGGTCTTTTCTCTATAATCAAAGAGGAGGCACTTTTAAACCTCTTGGTAATGTACAAGTCACATTTTAAAAATAATACTAGGTGGTGCCAGGGAGAGAGTGTTCAAATGAATCAATTTTTACATGTAGCCAGTGCATGGTGGGGGACAGTGGGATAAGTTCTCACAACATCACGTGCAGTTTCTTCCTTTGGCTGCTGAAATTTAGAGCAGGCAGGCAGGCAGGCAGGCAGGAAGGAAGGCAGGAAGGAAGGCTTTTAAAATAAGCCTTTTTCTCCTATTCTGCTCTTGCATATTCGTATTGCAGGAGAGGGGTTGCTTTGGCAGAAGGTGTTGTTGAGAGTGGAAACTAGCATCCAAAGTCTATACCCTGGCAAAACTTTCTGCCCCATCCTACAGTATATTGTATAAAAATATACAATAATGGAGTTTGAACCTATATTGGTTTGACAAATTGGGGGATTGTAAATTCTCTGCATGAACAACAGGACAGCAGTGTAGGCCTGATGAAGTGTGCCCCGATCCATGAAAGCTAGCAGACTGTGTGATATTTATTAATGGACTATAAAGGTATCACCTATTCTTGTATTAATATTAGATGAGTTGTTTTTCACATTCTTTGGAATGGTTTGGATACTCATCACTGGCAAAGGTGTCATATGTTTTACACCCTGCCGTAGCCATGTTTAATTTTTTTGAGAGAATCAATAACCCGTTTTTAAAGAATATGTTAAATGTCTGGTACAAGTATAGAAAGAATTTATGTCCATTAGGATTTGTGACTGAAATAGAGAATTTTCCTGCCAATATGAAAGTTTATGCAGAATTATTTAAAGAAAAAAGTGATTGGATTAAAAGACTGGTTGTATAAAATGAGATTGAAAGATCAAATGAAATAAATCCTTCAAAATAAGAATATATCATGGTTGAATTATATGCAATTAGAAAGATGAACTAATGAATGGGTAAAGACGTATAATAAAGGTAGAGAATATATGAAGTATGAACAATTTCTATTATCACGTGAAGATATTCAGATGACCGATTCAGTAGAGAGTGCCGTGATTAAAATTTATAGATTCCTGCTTGATCTAGAAGAAGAAGAGACTGAGAAAGAAGGATTGAAGTTACTGTAGTGTGGGAAGAAAACTTAGGAAAAAGAATAAACAATGAAGAATAGAGGAAGATGTGGAAAATGAGGGTTTTACAATTTATGTCAGTGAGAATAAGGGGAAAAAATTCAAATTGGGTTTAAGATGGTATTTGACACTGACAAAATTGAATAAAACGATTTGGGAAACTAATCTTTAAATAACTAAATAACATATGTGAAAAAGAGATAGAATTTAATCCTGAGA